ATTATTATTATTATTATTATTATTATTATTATTATTATTATTATTATGTTATTATGATTATATTTATTATATTTATTATTAGTAGTAGTAGTATTGTTACTACTATTATTATTACTATTGTTGTTGCTATTATTACATAGACGTTAAAATATTTTTTAAATTATTGTTATGTGTATTATTTTGCCCACTACGTTAAATATCTACTTCTCAACACTAGCAGTAACAAAAATAAATAACTGATTCTGTCTTTCTCGCCTCATCTTTGCATGTGGTGAGGCACCAGTGGATGCTGTAAAACAGGTGCTGACTGTATGTAGCTAAGCACAAAGCCGAAAACAGAAAAAAATAACCCCAAAAAAGAGTCAAACTGCTGAAATTTGGAACTGCTCTGAGTGAACGTCAGGCAGCTATGGGGGATGGACTTTTGGCTCTTGTCAAAATAGATAAAGTTGATTTTGTATCACCTTAATTAAGCAGCCATGTGAGATCTCCTGTGGTTTTTTGGAGGCATGCACAGAATACATGCTTTGTCTTATATCCATAGGCTGCTTTAAAGTGGGTTATGGCTCTACTGTTTCATTTAGTATTCAGGGAACTGCAGAACATCTTATAATATAGGACAGGTACTTAGTATAAGTACAGATTCTGCCACAGAAATCACAGCGTGTTCTATAGCTGCTATTCATAAATGAATAGACTGTTCTTTAGCATGCTTACAGACTGGTTTAGTTCAGCTGTGTTTTTTGACACAACTGAAAAACAGAAAAAATCTCCTCAAAATGTTCAGTCTGGGAGAATTCCATCTTGAGAAAAAAAACTCTTATACTCAAACAAAAGTATGCAGTTTTCTGGAAAGAATTGAAAATGTCACTTGTACAAAATTAGACAGACCACTTATGAGCCCAATGAAATGGAGGTGAAAATGGTTTGTACAGGTCAGTGTGAAGTCAGCTTCTACTCTCATTCTGATCATGAAAACATGATTTAAAGGAGCATTTTGATCCACTGATTCAATTAGCTCACAATAACCCAAGCACTACAGGGTTACCATCTTGTATCATGTTAGATTTCACAAATTCAATTTAATCCCCCCCTCCTGGCATGTATTTTTAGGACAAGATCATGGCAAGATGAACCCCTTAAATTGGAGCTAAATTCTCCTCTGGGGCCTCTACTGACTGCAACAACACACAATAAAAACACCAACAGCTCCACAGCCACTTTACTTTATTCCTGTTTTAAGAGATATCCTTCACAAGTTTTTCATTTTAGGTACGTTAGATGACATTTACTCATGACAAAACATAAAATCTAAGCATAGTAGGGCTCTCAAATGCAGCCTTGGCTTGGCCCTTCCTATGACTTTAACCCTCCTTTGGCATCTCTCTAGGGTGGAGCCTACCCCAGCTGCCATTAGCGAGAGGCAAGGTAGATCTTGGACAGGTTGCCCCTCCATCACAGGGTCACACTTGACCACACACACTAACATTCACTCCTTGGGGCAATTTAGAGTGTTCAATTAACACTCTGGGTGGGTGGAGGGAAGCCTCGCAGACAAAGGGAGAAAATGCAAACTGAAGACAGAAAGGTCCCAAGTCCCCCCAGGGATTCTTGCTGAGAGGCGTAGGCTTTTCTCTTACCATTCCTTTATTTTTGTAATACTTGGCTGTGGCGTTGTGTGGGTCTTTCCTGAGCCCTTGGCTAGGCTAAGCAGGCTCTTTTTTAAGAGCAGCAGGATCTCTTGGACACCATCCTCACTCCTCGATTAGGTCTGCCTGTCTTACCATTATCCAACCATCCGTTTTGTGAACTGTTGATTCCCAAACGGGGTCGTGGGGGGACTGGCGCCTATCCCAGTAGGCAATGGCAGGGTACACCCTGGACAGTCGCCAGTCCATCGCAGGGCCACACATATAGACATACAAAGACGAACCAAACACACACTCACACTCACTCCTGAGGGCAATTTGGAATGTCCAATCAACCTAACATGCAGGTATTTGGACGAAGCCAGAGTACCCAGCGAGTACCAACACAGACACAGGGAGAACATGACACATGAAAGGTCTTAGTTCCCCGGGGACTCGAACCCAGAACTGTCTTGCAGTGAGGCGATGGTGCTAACCACCACACCACCATGCCATAGTCTTATCATTATCCACTAACATATTTGTTTCTGCCTTTAACGTTGATTTTCTGATAACTATTACCCACAAAACCAAACCACTTACTCATATAGTTTCAGTCAACCATCGAGAACAGTTAACTTTTGTCATATTTCCCATTTCCAGTACCCCCAGAGTCCTTGTATTTCCATGGCTCGCCATTCATAACCCCAGTATCAACTAGTCTAGCCCTAGAACAGTGAACTGGAGTAAATTGTCTCTCAAGACCACAATACCTTTTTTCTAATCATTAATCCATTCCTCAGAAGGTTAATTCTGTCAACATCTCTCTGCTTCCTCTTGAATACCATGAGCTTAGCATAGTCTTTAACAAAGATAAGGCTATTTTGTTAGTACTACATAGGCCTCATGATTGCACGGTTGACCTGTTACCTGGGTCTCTATTACCAGTTAGCTATCTTTATATACAAGCATGAATTCAGGATTCTTTCTCAATTGGAACTAGGGCTCCTAGACCTTGTATAGACTACCATGGACTGCATGAGGTCACTGTGGAAGAACATCATCACTGCATAAGGTCAGTGTGTCAGAGACTTTAAAAAAGGTTTCTTTTAGTAATGGGTGACAAATGCAAGTTCCTTGGCTACATGTTTGAAGTTGGGCAGTTAAATATGGATCCCATCAAGATCCAGATTAGCAGTGAATTTAAGCACTGTTTGTTTGAACCAATCATAAGAGTCTTACATACATTTGTGATACTAAGAGACTTCATTCCAGACACTTGTCGGTCACTGCTTTTTTCAGTGGTTCAGCTTCTTAATGACTAAATCTGATACTCTAGGTTGAACTAGATCATAACTTTCCTCATTCCTTTGCTACAGGTGGCATAATCTTTGAGGTGGAGGATAAGATCAGACAGGGTGTGGCTCCAGATCCTGACCAAGGCACTGGACCAACAGATTGGCACTACATTCCATCCACTGCTCATTCTACAGGTTTTCCTGTAATCCAGGAATCCTCTGCATCATCGCCCTACTAAAGCGTTATTTCTTATGGACTTCTTTTGAACCTGACTCCTATGAGTGTTTCACAGTCTGCACTATCTGAGCACAGAACTAGAGAAAATATCAACCTGGAAGTTACACCACGACCATCTCTACAACGTTGAATCCCTTTTTTAAGGCAGTCCATTTCACTCCACAAAAAAACTCCACAAATTGTTGGAAACTAACAATCTGCCTCTCCTAAACCATCTGGTTCCATGGTATTCAGTCCAATAGAATAATTGCCTTAACCGTCAGCCCCAAACTCATGTTGTTCATCTTTGTCTTCAATCATGGAAGAAAATCATGCTATAGTTAAAGTCTTGTGTTTTGTCTTTGACTATTTTACCTCTTTTCGTTTTCACCTTGTTCACATTCATCTGCAACTAATTGTAGGCTACATGTGTAGTTAGAATGATCTTCAACTGACGAAAAGTGTAGTTTTTCTATTTGCTTTTGTAGTGGTAATATGGCCATTCTTTTTTTTTTATTGTCGACTGACCTGATGGCCCCAATAGTTGAAACAGTGTTTTAGTAAAAAAAAAGAAACATCAACTGTAGAAAATTGAAAATATTACACATTTGTGGTATCAAAAAGGACAGTCGGTGTGTATGTGTGAAGTTTGTGAACAGACATTGATAATCTGCCATTTCCCATGTTTACCTCACCTCTGCCAGTATGACAGAACCCTGGCTATAATAAGCTACTAAACTGCCAACAGCAAAGTTAACAAAAAGAACAATATAATCAACCATGGATTTTTTTTCTTAATTTTAAAACTGTCAAATCTTTTTATGGATTTTGTCCTCTTTCGCAAGATAATAGTGACGCCAAATCACATTTGGTTAAACTATTTATAATAAATCAGACAGGACACGCTGAAAACAAAACTAAGTAGTATTGTCAGAGAGATGGACAGAAAATGCGGCTGATGTTCTTGTTATTGATTCCAGACTGAAGTGTAGCGCATGTGAAAACTCAGGCGGCCTCACATCTCTTATCAACATGACAAGGACGACTCCTCTGATTCCAATTTCTTTTCCAAATATTAACTCATTAATCATAGCTGCTGTCCAAGATGGATTTTAATTTTGCCGAGAAAATGTCCTCCCCCAGCCCCCAACCCAAACAGCACAAGATTGAATTCTTTGTCCTTGGTTTGTCTCTGTCACTTTCTCTCTTTTACAATGTTGTCTCCCTGCTGTGGCAGCTAGGACGTGACTATGATCAACAACATTAGACCAACAGTAAATTACCTAAAGTGGAAAAAGAAAGTTTGTATTCAAATACTAAAAATATGTTATAAACAGATCATTTAGTTTGAAAGTAAATGTTGAGCAGAAAGCAGTGTTTAGGGTTTAATATGTTTACTGTATTTGCTTACAATGGAACACTGTCAAATAATACGTTTGAACACAATAATTCACCGCTCTGCTGTTTCATACTTTAGATTTAGTCATTTACTTTTATAGTGATGTGTCAGCTTCTCAATGAATCTACTTTTATGTGATTGAAAAACTTTAATATTCTTAATATTAAGATTCATTCAGGAAACTTGTAAACTTACTAAATGAATTTGAATTACCATTACATTTTTTACACAATCAGAAAAAGAAGTGCTAATTTATTGTGCATTATGTGCACACTAGACTTGCATCATCAGGAAATTTAACGCACAATCATCCCTTTAAAAGCTGACATCTTAATAGCAGCATTTAACACAATGTCAAGGAGGAAAGACATCAGAAATGATCCTACAGCAGCAACTGTTCAGCTTATCGATCTGAAGTGGTTTTTGGAATTATTTGGAATTTCAGGGCTGAAGATCCCAGTGAGGTCAAAAACCCAAGAGCTATTTCAGACTTCACATGCCTCAGTTAGCATGTTAAAGGTTGAAGGTTCTGACAGTGTTACAGTGTTACCTGGACTTAGCTATTACACTAAATAAATAAAGACAGAATTTAATGCATCATAAGTAATTGTCTATCAGAGGTTTTGATTGCCCATGTTAAAGTGATGCTAATCATCTGATCATTCTTATTTATAGTGTTTTTTGTTTGATTGTTTTCTTAATTAAATATTCATGCATTGCCTTATTTAAGACGTGCTTGAAGTCAAATAAAATGGAAAAATTTAACTTGAAATAAGAAGTAAAGGCCCGTTTTATTTGGTATTACTAATCAGATGTAAACTTTCCATACATCTGCTTCTCAAATACTGTTTTAAAACCGAATTCAAGAGTAGTGGCAAGCCAGGCAAGGGGTGCCTAATCAGTTTTAAATGTTGTGAAATATAAACGGAGTACATACTGGTTGATTCACTATTTCAGCAGGTCTTGCTTAACTGGAACACAATTTCATTATTCTGAATCTGTGTTATGGATTTCAGGGATTAAAATAGATGTTCTCCACTGAATTTGAGTTAATATTTTGTATTAATTAGTTAATCCACAACAAAAAACAAACTTTGGTTTAAATGAGAACAGAACATAAATGAAAAACACCATGTTGAGCTAGTTGTCTGTTATCAATGTGCCCAAGAGAAAACATCCTCGAGTTATTTGCTTACATTTTTCTTATTTCATTAATGATCCAACATTGATATGAGAAAGTCAAAATGAAGTGAATCCTTTGTCTCCTCTCTGTTCAACCGGCTTCTGAGAACACATTGAAATAATGCAAGATGCACTCTATTTCCTAGTACCTGCTTTGTTTCTTTATCTTTTCTGGTCAAACTATCTTTCTTTCAAGCCGAGCTTCACTTAATCGCCTGAATGAGGTGATGAATGTTCTGCTCTTCTGTAACACCAGTGTACGCACCTATCTAAATGCAAATGTCCAAATCTGGACTGGCATCAGGCTGCGGAATGTCAGCCATTTTCTGTCTTTCTTTCTTTCTTTATAGCTCGCACAATTTAGCTTCAAGCCCAACATTTAATCTCCGAATGTCCCGCTCTACTGTTTGGCAGAGTTTATATTTCTGTGATTATTCTGTGCCAGTTAAGGTAAACCTGTGACCCATCTCTATCCCTTACTTTCCGTTATCTACAGCCGTTATCTTTTTTTAGTAATTTGGCCAAAGAAGTGATGGCTCAACCATTTATCAAAAGACTCTGATTCAAACTAATACTACCAAAAGAAAATGTCTTTTTTCTTTGTTTGTCTCCTCAGAAGAAGAAAGAAACAGTCAAATGAACCAGTCTTAGATTTAGCTTTAGTGTCGTAGATGGCCACTTCCTCTCTGACTGCTCCACATCCTACGTGCTGCTATGTGTGTGTGTGGGTGTGAGGGCAGAATGTTTTGAGTGACACTTTTAATTTTCCACATGCTGCCTCAGTCCCGGCGCCGGAGGAAAGCTGCGAGCCGTCCGGCAGCTCAACACCTTCCCTTTGGAACACTCTACCGACTTTGTCACAATAAAACGCACCGAGGCCGGTCCATTAGCTTCCAGAGGGAACACGGCAACCAAACATCCTCTCAAACAACAATCACAGGAGCAGCTTCACTGCTCGCGTTTGCATTTCTTGTATAATTACAAACTGTCTGCGGGATGAGCTCATCCGAGCAAATGATCTGTTATGAATCTAAGTAAAAAAACGGTGAACGTTAATATTTTTTCCATAATAACGTGCCAAAAAGCTCTCATGTCAAATGTCGAGTCTTCATCACATGGATTCAAATAAAAAGGGATACGTGGCAGCAACTAACACTTTTCCTTCAGCGTATCTGGAATAAAAAATGTGTTCATTTGCTTTGTGACTAAGAGCTTACCAAGAACCTCATTGGCCATCTTTTTGGGTTTAAACAACCTCTGTGAACCTCTCTGGAGACTATGATCTGCACAATGGAAGCATGTCTGCATGTCAGTTGTTAAACAACTCAGAATCACATGCAAATTTGAGATAATCCTCCAAGGATTTGAACTAAAGGAATCCCTCAATAGCTTGCTCTCAAGTCCTGCAAAGGCCTGTTGAACAATTGTTCATTTGAATCAGGTGTGTGCAAACAGGGAGAAATCTAAAATGCAAAGCAGCTGATGTTCATGGGCATTTTACATCAATTATCTGGCTCAACACATCAAGATGCCTCAACCAATAATTCATATAAAACACAAGAAAAAGGGTTACCTGTCACTTTCATCCCAGGATATACATGTCTGATTGGTGGTGCCCTAAGAAATCAGAAACAGACAAAATACATGTATAAAATACATATTGTTGCAATTACATTATATCAGAATTGCTTTTAGAAAATCAGTTTGTCACTGACGTTGTACAAATGCGAGAACTCAACCACAACGGGAGCTGAGAGAGAAGCTGGCGAGGGCTTGATGGTCACCGACAAAACCTTGGAGTTCAGGACAGTTCCGTTCCTACAAGAACAAAAAAAAAGTGAATTTAAACAGATGACCACTTTCTGGTCTGTAGAATATTTTGTAATGGGGAAGCACCGGTAACTGAAAGAGAGCGTATGCAGATTTGAGCATCCGTCATCCCTAAACTCAACCATGTAAGTTTTAACCCTGTAATGCCAAATGTATCATATCTGATTCATACGGTTTCTGAAATGTTTTGCATGTGACACGTTTTGCATAATTTAATGGTAAAAACTTTGCTCAAAATCCTTTTGTACACAATCAGATACACCTGATAACAGGGGGCAGAAGACTACACAAAAAAATAATCTTGACTTATCGCATAGTAATAAATTATTAATATCAAAAATGTATTGCTGTTTTTTCTTTGTTAAAAGGGCAAATAAGGAATTCAAATCCCAAAAAAGTAATTTTCTGCTTTGTTTTATTCTTGGATCAGGCTTTAAAGGGTTAATGAACCAAGACCTGAATCTAATGACGCTGCTTTTAACAATGACCTAACACACCTCCCTTAGTATGAGAATCTTAGCAAAGAAGCTTTTTAATATTTGAGCCTTGGACATACAGAAAGACTAAATGAAAATGAAGTGACAGTTCTGGCCTTAGCACAGCTTTTCCATGTAAAGCTGACTATTCTGACAAATTGATATCTACACAAGCCCAATTATTTGCATGTTCACATAAAAATAAAATATGTCTTTGGACAGAAATCTAAAAAGATTGACAAAATTAAACCCAGTTGTCTTTCTTAGTCAGTCTACCGTGGGCCTGTGCACATTTGTTGCTGTTTTTTCTTTATTTGTCCACAGTGACAAGGGCCTAAGATTAAATTTAAACTTTTTTTAAATTAGAAACTGAGCTTTCTCCTGTCTGCTTAGTGTGAATTTCAATTTCTACTTTTCATTGGCATAAAGAGCAGATGAGACAATAAGGAAGACAAAGTGATTTGCCACAGGAGGCTGTGAAGCCTCAAAGCTTCCAGGTGGCTGAATGTCGTTTCCCGGTAACCCCGAACCGTCACGGTGTCATCCCAGCACAATCAAACTTCCAGCTTCCCAAAATGCAATCAGTCAACCTAACCCTTTGTGTCGTCTCTTTCCCTCAGACTCATCTCATTTTCCATCAGAAAGGAGAGGGGTCAAGGAGTAAAACAATGAAAAAATACAAAATAAAAAAGGGAATCTAGAAATACAGTGTAGAGATGTTAAAAATGGAACCCATTCAACAATCTTTAACAGTCAGCGTCTGTTTCATTTGTCTTTTTTCTTGTATTCTTTGTTATTCTGCATTTTTATAGGCGCCATCAGCAATAGCTCCAAGAAGCTGCTCCACACACATTACACACGCCCACAAAAAGAGACACATGTTCATACACAATGAGATGAAATGCATGTGAAATTTGTCTGCAAATGACAAAAATCTCTTTCTGAAATCAATCCGTCATGAGGCAGCCCTCCACACTTGTGTTTTTGTGCTGCTTCAGTGTTAAATCCTTGTTTTCGCCGAGCTAAAATCCCTCCTCTGCAGGAGGACCGTACCATGATAATCTGTCACAGCCAGCATGGTGATGCGGAACAATGTGGATTGTGACTAAACAGCCCGGGCTTCGCTTCTGTTTGAGGCCGTTTTTTAAGCAGCCTGTTTGTGTTTTGTGTCAGAACTGCAGAATGTTCATTGGGACTTGTGTTTCTTTCTTTTTTTTTTTTTTTTACCAGTGGGTACATTCTTACAAATCATGCAAACATTTTGAATAAATTGCTTGAACATGACCCTGTTGGACGTTGCACAAACAGAAGAACAGTATTTATGAGTCACTACATTGGATTAATTAAAGTGCTTTAATAATCTAAGTCACTTTCTTGTCTACAACACCACTGTGGCGTTTTTTTGTTTTGTTTTTTAACCAGTCAAACACACTTTTTCACACTAATGACCTTCTGGCTGGCAGATGACCAGAATCTTAGAACCACACCTACCACTAAAACTGTTTAAATGTACATTATTAAGAAGCCTCAGCTCTGAAAATGAAAAAAATCAGCCCAGGAGTTTGAAACTGCAAAAGACACTCAGCCCATTATAGTAATTCATCTATAGGCAGGTATTTACCTCATGTGGACACAAGATATTTGCTTTGATAAAACGTGTTTATTGGGCTAAGAATCATGCTTACCAGATTTACAGACTATTTGAATTGGACCCCAAAACCTTGACAGAACAAGTGACAAAAACATATGGACAAATAAAACACACAATAACTGAGAGCTGAAATGCCGTTCATGGACCAGATGGTAAAAATATGAAATGTTTGTGTGCTACATGGTCATCAGGTGCCCGCTCTTTATTTTACAGGCAGTCAAATTTAAAACATGTCTTCCGTCTTACCTCTGCAGAGACAGAATGCTGCCCAGGTTTCTGTACAGAACGATGCCCGTTACAAACGTGGAGGAGTCGTCTGCATCTGTGTTGGAGAAGAAAAACAGTTATGTGCACGCTGACCGGGCGGGTCACAGTCCAGCGTTAGGGATAACTGGACGGCTCAGTGTCTGCGAGCAGTGGCCGGCAATGTAAGAGAATACAGGTCAGCCATGCTCCACCAGTCCCCAAGAGCTCTTTCCACTGGAGCTGGCCTACATAACTAGTCAGCTATAAAAACGGCTTTACACACACACACACACACACACAAACACACACACACACACACACACACACACACAATCAGTCAACTACATGCTGACAGTAACAGATATTAATGGTTTCAAATAAATCAGCCTTTTCGCTATTGAACATTCTAATTACAAATTACACATCAGTACCAAGCGTCCACACTTTGGCTTTGATTATTGTTAAGGTCTGATATCTTCCAGTGAAGAAACATACATTTTTGTCATCATATGCCCAAGGATATGACCCTTGTGTAGTTTAAGAGATGCAATAGTGGAACAGCGGAGTTTCATAGCACAGGGCTCCAGAGGTTGGAGATTACACACACTCATTTTTGGGTTTTAGACATGGCTGGTGTTGTTACTTTAGCCGTTCGGGACAAGCGGGAGCAGGAATGTCAGATGCGGATGTGTGAAATGTACGACTGTTAGGTTAACAGTCAAAGGATCGATGCGGTGCAGAAAAGATGGCACTCAGCCCAGGTCTAACATTCACACTCCCTCTGCACTCCAAAAACTAGTAAAAAAACATAAACTCTGACAAAAAAAAGTCAGAATTATTGTCACTTTAGCTGTTAAGCATCACATTAGGTGTCATATCATCACTGTAGGACCTAAAAATGACTTTCCTCCAGTCACTATCCTGCTCTGATCTTGTTAAAAATGTTCATTTCTGGTTTTAAAAGCACAGTCAAATGTCAAACTGAAGGCCTCAAACCAGAAATGAGGCAATGGCAACTGATTGCTGACTCAGCAGTGCTCCGTGGACAAGCCAGGCGTGCGCATGTTCTGGGTAATGCGGGATCTTTGGTAACTTGATCAGATAATTCTATGAGAACAAATGACTGCGCAGGCATTTATAGATCCAAAAGTGGAGAAATAGAGTACAGGAACTGAAGCCAAGAAAATGATTTCCACATATATATGATATCCATCCATCCATCCATTATCTTAACCACTTATTCCCTAATAGGTTTGCGGGGGGACTAGAGCCTATCCCTGTGAGAGGCGGGGTCACCCTGGATGGTCCACCAGTCCACCACAGGGACACACAGAGACACACAACCAAACACACTCACACTAAGGGCAGTTTGGAGTCCAACCTGTGATGATCTGGCTCCGCCCACCGGCTCAATCCCTCCTTGCAATC